GGGGGCAAATGAGCATGCGGCTCACCTGATGGTAAGTGACTACCGCCGCCCATGAACAACCGCAACACCAGGGGAATTGCAGATGCGTTGCCGCCCTTTTAAAAAGGAGTAGGCTCTTTTCTTGAAGGTCCCTAAGTCGTACGGTCCGGAATAATCGCTGGTGGTAATAGATTCCACTAAGAAGTTGTGTGAGGGAGAAAACTTCATCTAAATCGCACAGTGGTGGACCGCCAATCATCCAGATGTTATGGATGGTAACGTGAGTTTTGTCGCGATGTGCGATGGTGAAATTGAGCGGCTGGAATTAGTCCGAACAATTCCTCAGAGCACTCCCCGTGATAGATGCGATAAAATACGCAAAGAGATGCAACATCTCTACGCAGTGTCAGTGTATCGAGTCGATCAGAAAGAACTCAGTCGTCGACTATTCGAACCGCTCTGCGCTGGATGCGGTCAAGTGGAAGGAGCTGGCACTGGGGTGTCCCGGCCCTGAGATGAGAACAGTATTCCATGTGTGGCCGAACTTGCGCTTTGTAAAGTTGCAAGCGATGTGCCGGCATGAAATACTGTCTCGCTCTGCTGAGCACGCCAAGTTTTTTAGAGGCCAATTTGGCCTTCCCTTCCAAGTGACCACGAAACTGCACACTATTCGATATGTCGACGCCAAGGGTTCTTTTTAGCGGTAAACGCGCAAACTTGTGTCTTCTGGGGATTGAACTGGACTAGATTTAGTCGCCCCCAATCCGAGACTTTGTTATACAAAGACTCGACTGCAGACACAAGTTTGTCCCGGTACTCAGCGACGTTTTCCCGAGAAATATTGGCACAGCCGGTGTATAAGGCATCACCAGTGCTGTCGTCTGCATAGCAATGAATGCTACCAGTTTGCAACATATCATTGTTATGCAGGAGAAACAGCGTTGGTGATAGCACACAGCCTTGTGGAACACCAGCGTTGATTGGCTTGAAATCAGAGCATGCACCGTCTACTACGACTTTGATGCTCCGATCAGCAAAGAAACTGGTGATCCATTTGCACAAATTCTCGGGAAGCCCATAGGAAGGAAGCTTCGAAAGAAGCGCTTTGTGCCAGACCCGATCGAAGGCCTTCGCTATGTCCAAACTAACGGCCAATGCCTCCCCCTTGGACTCTACTGCCTCCACCCATCTATGAGTCAGATAGACCAGAAGATCACGAGCTGATCGACCCTGACGAAAACCGTACTGGCGGTCACTAATCAGCTGGTGATCCTCAAGGTACCTCATGAGCTGGCAGTTTATAATAGATTCCATTATTTTGGAGAACAAGGACGTTATGGCGATAGGCCTGTAGTTGGATGGGTCTGAGCGGTCGCCTTTTTCAGGGATCGGTTGGAGCAAAGCTGTCTTCCATTAATTCGGGACTACGCCTTGGGAGTAGGAGTACCGGAAGAGACGCGTAAGAAGAAAACCGGTGCCAACTCCGGAGGACACGTCTTCAGCGCAATAGGAGGGACTCCATCGGGCCCACTCGACTTGCTGACGTCCAGGGAGAAGAGTGCTTTGTGAACCGAGCGCTGTGTAAACCGCACATCCGGCATGGAGCACTCACATCGGGATGGTTGGCGGTGTGTTCCCCCCGTCGTCTAGAGTCGACTTGGACGCAAAGAGAGAACTCAACAGATCGGCTTTCTCCTTTGCGGCATGGGCCAGTGAGTTGTCCTCTCTGTGCAGAGATGGAAGAGATGGCTGACAGAAGTTCCCTTGAACAGCCTTGGCGAGAGACCAGAATGCACGGGTTCCAGAAGGAAGGCGAACTAGCTTCTCGCCAATTCTGCCGATGTGCTCAGACCTTGCCTAGCAATGACGCTTTTGAAGGACCTGGAGGCGGAATTATACTTCTTTTTAAGTGCGCTGGTGTTTACATCCCGAGACGTTGATGCGTCAGCCCAGGCCTGGTAGCACTCCCGCCTATAGCGTGATGCTATTTTGCAGGAGCGACCAAACCATGGCTGGGATCTGCCTCCGATGGGCACTACAGAGGATGGAATAAAAAGTTCCATACCCTGAAGTACCACATCAGCAACAGAATCCGCAACAACGCCACACGTTACCTAACCGTTACCATTACAGCAAGCCAAAGACTACAATATTAAAGTTTATAAGCAAGGCTCCTTAACTAGTGTATGTAATAATCTAAGGTGTATGTATTTAATGGCCATTTGCAATCAGACAAGGCCATTGAAGTTATATTAGGTTGTATAAGTATTGTTACGAGCTTGGGGTTCGAGACAATTAAAAACTGCCGATTGAGTTACCAAAATTGACACTAATCATAAAACACTAATTACAACTTAAAACCAAACTAATAATAAAACGCAAATGTACTACTGATCACTTTAGTTCGCAGTTATTTCGCTTGTATCGCCAATTCAATACTCACTCGGCCTTATATAGGGCCTCAGATAGTTTCCAGAACCTTCTACTGTAGAAACATCTAGAATGTTCGGATACATATCTGTCCCGAAATTTCTAGAAGGATCTTCTCTCCTAGTTCTGCTACTGGACACTAGTGGGCGCTAGTGGTAACTAGTGTTGCCATGCACAAGACATTAATAGTGGTGCGCAACAGTATTTATATGCGAAAAAAGTAATTATAAGAGTTTACTTTCACATCATAACCACCACAAAAATCAGCTACTTCTTATCTTGTAACTTAAAAATATGCCGTAACTTTGAGTGAACATTAAATGAATTCTATCCGTTACATCCTTCAAAAGTCCACTGCTGAACGTAGGCCTCATAATCATTTTGCATACGCTAGCGTTGGCAACCGCAGATTTTTTTATAATTTAGGGTTGTTATCACATCAGAAAGATGCTGCTGCTCAGCAACTGCTTCAGTTTCCCTCTGTCGGCTTTCGCGATAGGCTTGGGTAAAAAATATCGATACTTTTTCACAAAATCATCGATATTTTTAATAGCAATGTATCTATATTCGATATTTATTTTAGAGTATCGAATTCATATCAATTTCAAAATATTTTAAAATGTTATATTTATTTTATAATTTAATAGACAAAAAAGCATTCAGATTACAGTTGTTTTTCGTTGACAAAACGTTCAGTAATAAAATTTCGGCCCTCATCCTACTACATTATATAAAACAAGACGATATATCGATATTTATCACGCAATAATTATCGATACTGTTTAAAAATAAGTATTGATGTTTTTTCACTTGCCCATCCCTATCTCACGGCATCTATGGATATTCCTTCGAGCATAGAAAGGATATTCTTACATCGTCACTACAATAAACATCGAACAGATGGCGTTTTTCCAAAAAATATATTATATCGCGCGTAAGTACTTGGTAAAGAACTTTCAGAGATCTCAATAAAGAGTAGCATATTATTTATTTTATATATTTATAGTGACAGTAGAGTACTATGGTTGTGGCATAGTACAATACTGTAAGTAATACCACCCATTTGGTCCGGCATGTCCGACCAAACGTCTTGTTTTTTTTTTTTGTGTTATTTCTTGTTAAGAAATGTATTATAAAAAAAAAGTCTGATGTAATATGTTATTTTATTCCTAAAATATATTTGATCCCTTAACCACATAAAAATATAATACAAAGTCAACAGTTCATCAAACAAACAACAATACAAATAATTCAGCCTTTAAATATCACCTCTGAAAATGAATGCATAAACTCTCTTGGAAAACATTAAAAAAAAAACTTCGGGATAGAAAGCCTCACTACACAATAAAACATTAGAAAAGCAATGATCTTAAATACTACATTAAATTTAAACTAAGTACAGAGTTATAGTAAAAAAGTTTATATTAGACATTATAATGACGCATGCTGAATAATATCTGTTCAAATAAATTGGCACGTGAGATGCTTGGCAGCCTTGTAAAATGCAAAATAATTATGTACTTTTAACTTTTTCATTTCATCACATTTTAAACTCAAATAACAAAACAATATTATATTTAGACGCAAGATAGCGACATTTAAGAAGTGAATTGTGGGAAGCGATATTAAAAATGGCGGAAATCGCATCAAGTTAAGATGAACCGATATTAAACAGAACAAAGTTGCTTTCAAGTAACATTTTTATAAATTGACAATTTCTATTTAAACAATTGCTATTAATACATCTTATTATCTGTAACAGTAATAATTAATGTAAAAACTTTTATTGTCATTAAAATTAGTAACTAGTAAAACTGTGACCACTTCATTTCATGACCGTTTAATTTGGCGGATTTTCACAAAAGGTTTCAGTCTAAAACCAAATTAAAAAGCATGTTGTTATAGCATATTCTTTGAATAGAATTTCATACATTTACAAAGAATAAAAAGATAAAATTTCATGCACACTAGAAAAATACAGTATATTAGGGACTTGCGCTCACAGACGGCACGGCATGGCACGGTACGGCACGGCGTGTCAAAGGATTTTTTCATAGACAAAAGATTTTCGAACTTATTTTAATGAAGTTAGTACGGAGATTTTTTTTATTTCAACACGAATAGAACGAAACGTCTTGCGCGACAACGCGCCATGCTGCTGTACGTCAGTCATTCCGCGGAATGCTGCAGCACGTCACGGCATTCCATGAGATGCCGTGACGTGCTGCAATATAACGTGAAGAGCATAAGCAACTTCTTGTTGTTAAAGAAATGTGACTGCTAAGTCATTGAAACAAGGTTGAATCTAGCCCGTTTCACAGGATTGTTCGGCTTACCGCAGTGCCTTGCCGTGCCATTTGTGAGCGCAGGCCACAGAGTAGCTAGCAACAGACTAATTGAAAAGATAGTATCTCTATATATCACAAATGAAATAAAGTAAAGATAATAAAACAATCAAATGAACATTCTGATCTATCGACAAATTATTGTATGTATAACCTTCATTTTTTATTCTGAATATTAAAAACTCTTATCGATAAAACTACCACGCCCCATCCCTTACCCTGTACAATCGAATACACATTTTAAAATTAATGTAGAATTTTGCAGGGCGGGACGTAGCTTCCAAATTGTTTCTCCAAATATTGAGCAACGGAGAGACACAGGGCTTCCTGCTTCGGAGCAGCCACCACTTGCAGTCCCAGCGGGATGCCTTCACTATTCAGACCTAATGGCACCTGAGGAATTTTAAAATTATTGTTTGTTAGTTTACTTTGGAGGTGATTGGTGATTAACAATTTTCTAGTTACTTTTACTTGGTGTACTCAATATTCTATAGGATACATTGCGGTGAGTGGGTGCAGGAATTACACGCTTTATTTCCTCCCTCTTTTCCACGGCGGGTATTCACCCCTTACTTATCGATATTCCACGCATTAGAACCAAACGGTTTGCTTCGTCTTTTGTAATGCGTACAGCAAAGGAGTGGAATAATTTGTAGGCGTCTATCTTTCCGTCCGAATACAATCTGGGCGTCTTCAAGGCAAGAGTGAATAGGTTTTTGTTACGCTAAGACAGTGCGATTTACCATCTAAGACTACATCACCACTTACCACTAGGTGAGATCGTGGTCAAACGCTGGGTTATGGTAAGTAAAAAAAAGAAAAAAGTAGAACCACGTCAAACAGCAGTAAAATGCGGCCGTTTCGTATGGTTAGTGTAGAGAATCAACCCTTTTTACTGGTACAGAGGCATTCCATCTTAGTCCTCAGGGGCGACAACGCATCTGCAAATTGATTCTTAATCGATGATATATGTATATGTCTATGATCCATACCATCCACTTACCATCCAGGTGGACTGTGTGCTCGATATCTATCAATATATAACTAAATAATAAAAATTAAATTTTGCTTCATTTTTTATTGTCATACATACATACATTACATAAACACTCACGCCTGTCACCCAGAGGGGTAGGTAGAGACTACGGACTTCCATTTGGCGCGATCCTGACAATTTTTATTGTCTTAACTAATTTAACTGATTATTCATTTTTTTTTGTTTAAATTTCACAAACACAATTTAAATGATATTTTTAGTGATATTCCAAACACCTGTACTGCAGGGAATTTGAGTGCGTTGAAGATTCCCCAATAAGAGAAGTTGAATGGTCTCAGGTACAAGGAGTAGTGGTACGGCGCTGGCGATGGGGCGCTCGGGAACAGGAGGACTCCGTCGTCACCGAGCAGTTTCTATAATAAAACAATAAGAAAGACATAAAATGTGTAAGTAAGTTCTAATTAAATTATGTTTGAAAGACAAATAACTTTTTTATTGTCGACTGCTTCGTTGGTCTAGTGGTAAACACGACTGCTAATCATGGGGTTCCAGGTTCGAATCCCGGATTTCGCCAACAATAATTAAAAATTAAAAATTTTGTACAGCCGACTTCAATATAAGTTATTAAGAATAACTCAAAAACTATTGACCTGACCTTGATCAAATTCATATGGGAGCACACGAGAAGTACCAGCTTTCAAATAAAAAAAGAACCATCGAAATCGGTTCACCCAGTAAGAAGTAATAACGTAACATGCATAAAAAAACATACAGTCGAATTGAGTACCGTCTCCTTTTTGGAAGTCGGCAGAAAAATTAGTCATAGCGTTTTTCGGTCAAGAAATAATTCTCAGTAGCAAGCCCGGATTAAGAATGTTGGCGGTGTTTTATCTTTGTGCCTCGGAAAGAACGTAAAGACGTTGGTCCTGCGCCTAATCTCACATCGGTCGTGTCGTGTCGGATTACCGTCCCATCGGACTATATGAGTGAGGGAATAGAGAGTGCACCTGTGCTCGCGCATACACTCGTGTATTATAAACATGCCCTGCGCAGATGGCCTAGTCTTCGTGGAGACTGGCAGCTGTGACCGAAACGCAGTCTAACATTATTATTATTTTTATGTAGCCAAATGACTCGTATACAATATTATATGTTGGTATAGTGCCAAGAAAGAGAATCACAAACCTATCGAAAGTGACATAAACTCTGTCGGATTGGCTAGTTCGCAATACTGTTATCTCTTTTATATCTATCTATCAAATTTTATATCTATAGTGTATCTAATGTACATAATAATAGTATATTTATTTACGCGTGCGGAAAGCCTGTCATTGCAAAGAGTTCGACAAATGTCTACCCGAGCCGAGGCGCAACCGAAGGTGAGGGTTGACAGTCGGAACAAGTTGCAATGACGGTTTCGCACGTGTACTGAACAACTATTTTTAATACAGTTGCGAAAAAATGATGCAATTTAATAAAGAACATTTTTGAAAAATGGCGCCAACCGTAAAAGAAAATACGCAGATTTTTTTGTTTTCTTCACCCATTCTGGGTAGGCAAAGGGAACTATGCCCATACAGCCAAGTCTTCAGTAGAATTTTGTATTGATATGAAATGAAAATTTAATTTAATGAGATGAAATGAAATGAAACCTAACCTAACTTATTGAATCAAATCATGAAATCTAATATTGAAACAAATTAGTAGCTTCTTTTTAGAAATATTTGCATGAATCATAAAAACTTCTATTAATTTTTTTAGTAAAAACTTCGTGGTTGGCTTTTTCTTTTTAATAGACATTATTTTGACAGTTGGGAAAGAATGCACGAGTTCGGAAAAAGTATAGAAAAAGCACGAGTATGTAATAGCCCACATCCCGAAAGCAATACGTCCCTGCAAAACGCCACTTTTTGAGCAACTGTATTTAAAAAAAATTATCAAGTGTATATGTATGCGGATGACATGTGCTTTCTATTTGCCTCTAAAGAAATAAAAGAATTGCAAAATAATATACTAATAATGGCATAAATAATTAATCTTAATAAAACAAAATGCATGCAATATACACTCTCCATATAACACTGCAACGGAAAACACCACATTGAATGAAATGGCTGTTGTGAGCCACTGTTTTGAGTACTTACATAATAATAAAACTAATTAAATTGTAAAATTATTTAAGATTACATTGACCACTATAAACAGCAGTTAGATTAACTTAAAACAAATGCTACAGAGAAAGTACTAAAAAGAAGAAAAGTTTACAATTAGGTCATCCTTCATTTCTTTCGTGGTCCTTTCTGCCCAATCTTTGTCCACGGCGGGCAGCACCTGGTCATCCAGCAGCTTCAAGATCGCAGCAAAGGTGTAGGTGGAGAAACCGATCAACTGTGGGACAAATTCACCATTGAAACAACTTCCATATTAAAAATTAAGAAACATAGGTGGTAGGATTTTGATGTTCGTCTTTGTCCAATTTGTATATTTGAGCTGGTCCCACGTTACAGGAGAAAATCCTAGTGGGGGTAACGTTTTAAAAAAAGAAAGAAAAGAAAATAAAAAGGAAAAAGAAAAGGAATTTTATACCTTTCCGGTCCAAGTTACGTGACTTTTTTTTATAGGATAGGGTGACAAACGAGCACACAGTTCACCTGATGGTAAGTGGTTGCTGTGGCCCATAGACATCTACATCTAACCTCGACTACGAATCAAAATGCAGATGCGTTGTCACCCGTGAGGACTAAGATGGAGTGCCTAGTTTCCTGTAAAAAGGGTCTCCGGTTCTCTACACTCACCATACGAAACACAGCAGCATTAAGCTACAATTTTACGCTGGTATTCTGTGAGATCGTGGTCCTTCCCCGGTCGAACCGACTCATTCGTGCTGCAACTATACTACTAATATAGCTGCAGCAAGGCTCTACCACGTATAACTATATATGAATTAACATCATTCCTATTCATTTTTATAGTTTTATCTTAGTGTTAACAATTATAGAAAGTCAAGTATAATTGTGATGAGTTTCTTTCCAACATAGTATTTCTTTTACCGTGCAGTGGTGAAAGAAAATCCACTACCCCATATTGTCTCGTGGGTGCCTGAGGCGACAGAGGCAAACTGAACTAGATGATGGGTAAAATAGGAAAGTTAGAAAAATGCAGTAGCCAACTTGCTTGCCAAGCGTGGCAACTATTAAAAAATATCCTTCTTATGAGGCAATCCATTAGAGCAATGGACTAATTGACTGTCGTGATGATGATGATGATGAAAATATGGTAAATACCTTTTTAACTAATTCCACAAGTGCGTTGGCCTGGCCCTGGTTGTTAGTGAGGAGCTTGGAGAAGCTCTCCGCCTCTTTGCTCATCCCATGCTTCCACAGTGCATACATGTGGTTGAAGCCATTGTGATAATATGCCTTAGGTGCTTTATCGGGTGAGGTATCCTCTGTCAATTGACGGACCACTCTGCAATAAACGAGAACATAATAAAAAACCTGCCAAGTGCGGGTCGGACTCGCGCACCGAGGGTTTCGAACAAATCCGTAGGTTAAAATTATTAAAAATATTTTTATTATATGATCTAACTAAAAATTTAAGCGTTTCGCAATTTTTCCTTTATCTGTGCTATAATACGTAGATTCGTACCAAATTTTAAGATTCTGAGTTCACGGGAAGTACCCTGTAGGTTTTGATTTTTTTTTATAGAATAAGGGTGACAAACGAGCACACAGTCCACCTGATGGTAAGTGGTTGCTGCGGCCCATAGACATCTACATCTATCTTCGTTTGCGAAATAAAATGCAAATGCGTTGTCACCCGTCAGGACTAAGATAGAATGCCTCTTTTCCAGTAAAATGGGTCTCCGATTCTCTACACTCACCTCACGAAACACAGCAGCATTATGCTGCTATTTTACGCTGGTATTCTGTGAGAGCGTGGTCCTTCCCCGGTCGAGCCGACCCATTCGTGCTACAACTAATACTACTAATATAGCTACAGCATGGCTCTACCACGTACAAAAGAGATTCCCTTGCGGCATAAACGGCTGTATCTTTGGATTGCGTTGGCTTAGAACTTTGATTTTTTCTCAGCTCTAAGGGACAGTAGACTTGAGTATTTGATATGAATTTCAGCTTGATTCCATGCGTTCTTGAGAAAAAGGGTCTTGACAGACAGACAGACAGACATACAGACAGATGGACAACAAAGTGATCCTATAAGGGTTCCGTTTTTTCCTTTTGAGGTACGGAACCCTAAAAACACGAGAAAAAAAGAATATTAAGTCAAAAAACAAAAAGTTAGAAGTTCTCAGGTTAGGAAACGGATTGGAAAATCATAAAACCCGATCTTTTGCTTCCTTATATGCTTCTTTCTAGTCAGCACCAGAAAGAAGCATATGCACCATGATCATCTTAAGACCTATCCGTTGGGAGGGACTATTGAGGTCATTGAGCATAGTGCTTAGGTCCTCCAATGATTCTGCCATAAGGACTACATCGTCGGCAAATCGAAGGTGAGTGATGTACTCGCCATTGACGTTAATACCGTATCCTTTCCAGTCCAGAAGCTTGAAAACGTCTTCCAGTGCAGCGGTGAAGAGTTTCGGGGATATTACCTCACCCTGTCTAGCACCTCTCTGCAGTTGGATAGGTTTCGTGCTCTGGTTCTGTACTCGGATAGCCATCGTAACCCTACTGTACAAACACTTCAGCACTTCGATATGACCATATAAGCACCCATGGGTTTACGTTGTTTCGGTCTAACATTGGATACATTCATACAATCTATCACACTCATTCATCCGTTCATTACAGACTATTCTGACGCCAAAAATCATACTGTGGCTGTACAAAACTGTAATTCGGCCCATGATCACATACGGCGCTCTGCTATGGTGGACCAAGACGAATGAAGCCACCACTATAAAGAAGCTTCAGCATTACCAGAGACTGGCATTTATGACTGCCACAGGCTGCATAAGGACTACACCAACAGCAGCCTTAGAGACTATGCTGGAGCTAATCCCGCTTCACCTACACATACAACAAGAAGCGACTTTAGCTGCCATTTAGACTCAAGACCTAAATCTTTGGAGTAAGAGTAAAGTGCCTCATACAGGTACAATTGGTAGAATTTACTCAAAAATTACTATCTTACAAGGCGAGTACGATAAGATACCAAAACAATTTGTGCTCGATAAGAAGTATAAGATACAATTAAATGAAACCAGACAGCTGGAGGGATTAAGACTAGAAGAGCTTAGAGTTTTCACGGATGGTTCTACATAGGCTGCACTAAAAGTATCGGGAATGAAATATTTCCATTGTTCCTGTCATATTAAAATCTTTTTAATTGAAAACTCCTTTTTTTATAGGAGAGGGGGCAAACGAGCATGCGGCTCACCTGATGGTAAGTGACTACCTCCGCCCATGAACAGCTGCAACATCAGGGAGGGAATCGCAGATGCGTTGGCGGCCTTTTAAAAAGGAGTACGCTCTTTTCTTGAAGGTCCCTAAGTCGTATCGGTCCGGAAAAATCGCCGATGGTAATCGATTCCACAAGGAAGTCGTGCCAGGAAGAAAACATCTTCTAAATCGCACAGTGGTGGACCGCCAATCATCCAGATGGTGTGGATCGGGAGTTCTGCCGCGATGTGCGTTCGTGAAATTTGGCGGCTGGGATTAATCCGAACAATTCCTCAGAGCACTCCCCGTGGTAGATGCGAAAGAAAATGCAAAGGGATGCAACATCTCTTCGCAGTGCCAATGAATCGAGCCGATCGGAAAGGACTCGGTCGTCAACGATTCGAGCCGCTTTGCGCTGGATGCGGTCAAGTGGAAGGAGCTGGCACTGGGGAGCCCCAGCCTAAAGATGGGAACAGTATTCCATGTGAGGCCGAACCTGCGCCTTGTAAAGTTGCAGGCGTTGTGCCGGCATGAAATACTGTCCCGCTCTGCTGAGCACGCCAAGCTTTTTAGAGGCCAATTTGGTCTTCTCTTCCAAGTGACCACGAAACTGCACGTCACTCGATATGTCAACTCCAAGGATTTCGATACTGGCTGAGGCAAGAAGGGGAGTGCCTTGAAACTGAAGAGATACGACAAAGGGGTTCTTTTTAGCGGTAAACGCGCAAACTTGTGTCTTCTGAGGATTAAACTGGACTAGATTTAGTCGCCCCCAATCCGAGACTTTGTTCAGCAAAGACTCGACTTCAGACACAATTTTATTCTGGTACTCGGCGACGTTTTCCCGAGAAAAATTGGCACGGCCGGTGTATAGAGCATCACCAATGCTGTCATCCGCATAGCAATGAATGCTACCGGTTTGCAACATATCATTGATATGCAGAAGAAACAGCGTTGGTGATAGCATACAGCCTTGTGGAACACCAGCGTTAATAGGCTTGTAGTCGGAGCATGCACCGTCTACAACGACCTTGATGCTCCGATCTGTAAGGAAGCTGGTGATCCAATCGCACAAATTCTCGGGAAGCCCATAGGAAGGGAGCTTCGAGAAGCGCTTTGTGCCAAACCCGATCGAAGGCATTCGCAATGTCCAAACTAACGGCCAACGTCTCCCCCTTGGACTCTACTGCATCTGCCCATCTATGGGTCAGGTAGACCAGAAGATCACCAGCTGATCGACCGAAACGAAAACCGTATTGGCGGTCACTAATCAACTGGTGAACCTCAAGGTACCGCATGAGCTGGCAGTTAATAATTGATTTCATTATTTTGGAGAACAAGGAGGTGATCGCGATAGGCCTATAGTTGGACGGGTATGAGCGGTCGCCTTTTTTAGGGATCGGGTGGACAAAAGCTGTCTTCCATGAATTCGGGACTACGCCTTGGGAGTAGTTAGGACTGGTGCCAACTCCGGAGCACACGTCCTCAGCACAATTGGGGGGATTCCGTCAGGCCCACTCGACTTCTGGATGTCCAGGGAGAGGAGTGCTTTGCGAACCGAGCGCTGTGAGAACAGCACATCCGGCATGGAGCACTCACACCGCGGGATGGTAGGCGGTGTTTTCCCCCCTTCATCAAGAGTCGAGTTGGACGCAAAAATGGAGCCTAAAAGGTCGGCTTTGTTTTGCGTCTTGGGCTAGTGAGTCGTCCTCCCTGTGCAGAGATGGTAGTGATGGCTTACAGAAATTCCCTTGGACAGCCTTAGCGAGAGACCAGAATGCACGGGTTCCCGAAGGAAGGCGAACTAGTTTCTCGCCAATTCTGCCCATATGCTCTGACTTTACATTGGCAATAACTCTTTTGAAGGACCTGGAGGCGAAGTTATACTTCTTTTTCTTCCTTGGTTTTAAAAATCGAATACCATTTATTTATTTAAAAAAAGATTCACAAGGTTTTGTCAAACTTGTTTAGTCGTTGAGAAAATGAAATTGACTCGAGAAAATTCAAGAGCGATGATTTATTATGACTTTCGAAGTAGTTTAACACAAACCGTATGTTTTCTGCATTTAGTGATTAAGCCCCATCCAAAACCACAATTTATCGCTGGTTTGCTGAATTTCAACGTGGACGTGTCAAGCTCAGTGATGATCCCCGTCAGTACAAAAACTGCAGTCACCCAAGAAAACGTTGATGCTGTGCGTAAGCTGATTGAGGAAGATCGACATGTGACATACCGCGAAATTCAGGCAACTTTAGACATTGGCATGAGTCAAATACAAATAATCTTGCATGAACAATTAGGTGTAAAAAAGTTGTTTTCCCGAAGGATACCGCATTCGCTCTGTGAAGAGCAAAAAGCGGCTCGCGTTACTTGGTGCGTCAGAACTCTCGAAAGATTCCACGCAGGATCCTCAAATGCTGTATACAACATCGTATCAGGTGACGAATCCTGGATATACGCGTACGAACCCGAAACAAAAATCCAGTCACGAGTTTGGGTGTTCGAAAATGAGTTAAAGCCAACAAAAATTGTTCGTTCACGGAGTGTTGCAAAAAAAATAGTGGCCACGTTTGTCTCCAAAACCGGCCATGTTACGACTATTCCTCTCGAGGGACAAAGAACGGTTAATGCAGAATGGTATGCTAGCATTTGTTTGCCACAGGTCGTTTCTGAACTCCGTAAAGAGAACTGCAAACGCCGCATCATCCTCCATCACGACAATGCGAGTTCTCACACCGCACACAGAACAAAAGAATTTTTAGAGCAAGAAAACTTAGAATTATTAGACCATCCGCCGTACAGCCCCGACCTAAGCCCTAATGATTTCTATACTTTCCCTAAAATAAAGAATAAATTGCGTGGACAGAGATTTTCATTACCTGAAGAAGTTGTGGACGCCTACAAAACGGCCATTTTGGAGACCCCAACTTCCGAATGGAATGGTTGCTTCAATGATTGGTTCCATCGTATGGAAAAATGTGTCAAATTTCGCGGAGAATATTTCGAAAAGCAATAAATACATTTTTAAATAATGTTGTGTCACTTCCTTGATTCCCGAAATTTTCAGTGCCGCCCTCGTAAAACAAATGAAGGTACTCGATCTGGAACTTACTCGGAAGACCTCAATATCCACATATGTACACCGCTGGGTACCCACAACACAGTGTTTCAGACGAAATGTATGGGTATCATCCAAGCCGGCATAGAAATAGATGCTAGGAAGGTAAAAGACTTCTCCTCCATCTGAATATATTATTATAGTATGGCAGTACTACAAGCTCTGAGTTGCAATGTGGTAAACTCGGGACTAATATATGAATGCCTTCAACTGACTGAAAGCAAGCTAGGGAGGCCCTGCCTGAAATAAGCAGTTGTTTAACCAAGGTTGTAATGAGGCCGAACAAGCCGCAGATCAGGATAGTAACAAGTGCTATTACAGAACATCTTTAACAAATATTTATTTACCATAGGTGTTACAGATAGTCCTTTGTGTAGGGCATGTATAGGGAAGGAAGAAACGGCGGCCCACGTGTTGCTGACATGTCCGGAAGTCGCTGCATACAGGGCTAAACATTTCAGCACGCCTGGATCACTGCCCGAAGTTGCTCGCATCTAAGGACTGTTGAACTTCTTCGGGAAGATCTCAATGGCTCGAATAATTACATTATTCCTGCCCACACGCAAAATACGCGCTTAGACGTGGAGTTTCGGTAAACAGCTTTATGACAAGACTAAACTAAACTAACTACAGATAGTCCCTGTGCAGGGCATGTATGGGGGAGGAGGAAACGGCAGCCCACGTGTTGCTGACATGTCCGGAGGTCGCTGCATACAGGGCTAAACATCTCAGCCCGCCGGGATCACTCCTCGAACATCAAAGGACTGTTGAACTTCTTCGGGGACATTTCATGGCTCGAATAATCACAATATTCTTGCCCGCACGCAAAATACGCGCTTAGACGTGGAGTTGCGGAAAACAGCCCGTCATACACTAAACTACAGCCTATTGGTTCTTGCATTGAACATACCCAGATTGTAATCGGACAGAAATACAAACTCCGACACACAATAATTACACTTCTTTGCTGTGGGCATTACTAAAGACGAACCGCACAATAAGTCTATATATAGCAGTAGAGCTTTGATCCAAAAGATAGTTATATACAACTAAAATTACTTGGACATAGCTTTCTTCAGGTCCTGGGTCACCGGGCTCACGCGTTTATCCTTGGCTGTTTCTGTGTAGTAGAATTTAATGTTCTGAAATGAGAAAGGTCTAACATTAACAATACAATATATTACGAAACGAGCACACAGTCCTCCTAATGTTAAGTGGATACTGTAGCCTATAGACATTTACATTTATCCTCGTTTAAGAATCAAAATATAGATGCGTTGTCACCCCTGAGTTCAAGATGGAATGCTTCGTATCCAGTAAAAGGTTCTCCGGATCTCTATACTAAACAAAGTAGCATTACCCCGGTCGAGCCGATCAATTCGTGCTTTGAAAACTAGGCAGAGCCATGCTGCATGCCATGGTAGAGTCGTGGGTCGGCTCGAACAAATACGTCGGGAAGAAATACGCACTTACAGAATACCAGCGTAAAATAGCAGTTTGTTTGTGTGCGCGTGTGTTTGTGTGCGAGCGTGCGAGCGTTCGCGCTTGTGTGTGTGTGTGTGTTCACGTGTTTGTGTGTTTTTTACGTGCGTGCATGCGTGCGTGCGTTCGTGTATGCGTGTGCGAGCGTGTGTTTGATGCTGCTGTTTCGTATGGTGAGTGAAGACAATCGGAGATCCTTTTTACTGGAAACGTGGCATTCCATCTTAATCCTCAGTGGTAACAACGCATCTGTATTCTTAATCGAGGATAAACGTATATGTCTATGGGCCACAGCATCCACTTACCATTAGATGAACTAGGTGCTTGTTTGTCATCCTTATTCTAGAAAAAAAAAACACGAATCAGCAATGCGATCGTGTAAGGCTGGCCGGAATCAGAAAAATCACTCCGCTACCGCATTTTGTTTTTTTATTATGATAAATACTTTGTAACATAAAATGTTAATATTAAAAATCAAACTTCTAATAAAAAAGTATAAACCGACTTCGTAGAACCAACAATAATTAAATAAATTTTATACATTAGCTTTTGAAGTCGGTACAAGGTCGGTAAGTCGGTAAAAAGAATTAGTCTGTACTAATACGTCTGTACTAATACAGACTAATTTTTTTTTGGACTAATTCTTCTGTACACCATGGAAGAATTCGTTTATATGTATGTCGTTTAGGGACATGTACAGAAGGATTAGGATCAATTTACATTGCGGCAGAATGGAATGGAAGCAAATTATATTATAAATAGTAAAATTAATTTTATATTAATGAGGGCTAATAATTTTAAAGTAAAGTTTTTTGTTACACAATGTAATTTGATTGAGAAATTTGTTTTTAAATAAAAGTTTATTAGTTTCTAGTGTATTATATTAATACACAAAACAATGCCTCAGTGGGTTGCTCTTAAATTATTTGTACATTTTTAACTTTTTTTTGGTTTGGTTAGGTTTATTTATTTTTAATCTTATTAATATAATATATACATTTTCCGTATAAATTAACTTCCCCGCCTATGAAATCTGTCAAATATTATACCTTACTTTCTAGTGGCACCGCCCTGGTGGCAGAAAAAGTCGTGGATGGCCTGTATAACGTGCAAACTAGATATGAGCCAAAAAGGAAGTCGCGCGTCTTCTTTATTATATCTAGTTTGAACGTTACGCAATTAACATAAAATTCATTTTACTATGTACATTGTACAATTTCGTTACAAAAATTGGTTTTCATTCCATTCCGCCGCAATGTAAATTGAGCCTTAGTCTGCATATGACTTGCACGCTGGTCTAGTGGTCGTAAGTGCGACTACTGTCTACTATCATTAGGATCCAGGTTCGATTCCCAGGTAGGGCAAAAGAATCAATTATCGGGCTTTTCTGTCAAGAAATTTTCAGTAGCATTCCGGAGTCAGTTGGCGGTGTTTCACCCCGTCGCTCGGAGAGCACGCAAAGCCGTTAATCCTGCGCCTGATCTCTCTCCGGTCGTGACTATGAGAGTGAAGGCACAGTGAGTGCACCGGTGCTTGTGCACACTCGGGCACTATTATCCTGTTCTGCGCAGATGGCTATGCTCTGGTTGCGACTGGTCGCCGAGGGCAAAATTTGGTCTGGAGGAAATTATTGTGTTATTCACCCAGGTATTCAACCTTGTCACGTTATCGTTACCGTTACAGGCTATTAAAATCCACTGATGAACATAGATTGCCTCATAGGCATATTTGGCATAGTTGCCACACTTGGTATGCGGGTAGGCAACCGCAGTTTTATTTTTATTATTAGTCGTTTTTTAGGAAGACGCTGCTGCCGATCTCCTGATTTATTTCCTTCGTGTCATTAATATAAGATTATAAGGCCGTAAGTGCTTACCTTAATATCAACTTTTCTATCTACATCTATCTCTGAAGCCTTATCATCGAGGATGATTTTGGTCAGCGGTGCCAAGTCTTCACAATACTTGCTTATAAATCCTATTGAAGCCATCGTCGGCTCTTTACCGGAGCGCAGCGCTGATCCTGAAATAATGAGGGATAATGATGTTACGATCACCAGATGTCGCTAGTTGGGACTAAGGAGACCTAATCGTTCAGTGTCATAATTAGTGAAAAGTTGCGATATAATTGTAAGTTCTTCTACCGACTTCAATAAGTAGACGGTACTCAATTCGACTGTATGGTTTTTTTATGTGTGTTACCTCATTACTTTTTACTGGGTGAACCGATTTCGATGATTCTGTGCTAATAGAACCGCTAAGTGAGCGGCGAGCCAAAACAAGTGCCTTTTTAAAGCCGCTCACTTAGCGGTTAGCCACCGTAGAGTCTATATCACCTGAGGATGCCTCGTGTAGAGGCGAAACACGTGTCGTATTATCGTCAGTGGTGTGTCTTGCCTAGTGTAGTGGTGTTGGGAGTAGTGGTGCTGGGATTAGTGGTGACGGGGATAGTGCACGCAATTGAGGGAGGGCGGGAGGTGCTCTTCATACTAGGTAAGACACATCATTTTATTTTATAACGCGGATATTTGCGAAGTAAATTTTTCTAAAAGCTTTTATATAATGGATTTCCGCAAAGTAACGCCTGATTCTATTAATTAGAGCATCGTTTATTATGAGCTTTTACCACCGTGCAAATCCATCAATTACTTAAACTACAAATACTTAAAAATACCTACAAGTTATCGAACAAAATGGCACTTATATCTTATAATTAAACTTTAAAAAAATAATGTCTTGAATTTGTATATAAAATACGAAGAATCTTTATCCCCGACCTTTTATGTTAAGAATTTTCGAATATTCAGGGTTATTTAGCAATAACCGGCCAAAGGAGATGGGGATTTCAGGGGCCCAATGTTTAAAAAAAGCGTTATATTCTTCTATTTCAAAATATAAAAAAAAAATTAAAATTAAATTAAACAATCTGGAAGACGAGAAATTTAAAAAATAAGTTTGTCACGAACAAAATAGGAAATCGATTACTTTAATCGATTAATGTGAATGAGTTTTAAGAATTAAACATAAAAACAACTTACACCAGATGATTGATACAATCCAAGTAATGAATTAACATAGTGTCAACAGTTTAAAAAATAAAATAACAACATAATAAAAATAAATCTGAAAATCGATTCTCATTTACAGTTTGATTTATTTTTTGTGTTTGGCAACTGCATTTTCTGCCGACTTCCAAAAAGGAGACGGTACTCAATTCGACTGTATGTTCTTTTTTTTATGTGTTACCTCATAACTTTTTACTGGGTGAACCGATTTCGATGATTCTTTTTTATTTCAAAGCTGGTACTTCTCGCGTTATCCCATATGAATTTGATCAAGGTCAGGCCAATACTTTTTGAGTTATTCTTAATAACTTATATTGAAGTCGGCTATACAAAATTTTTAATTTTAAATTATTAATCTGTGCTGACAGTGACAGCTTTTGTAAATATATACAGATCACTCGTCTCGTATCGTTTAATTGTTTAGCACGTGTGCGTTTTGAGTGTTTCCCGTTGTTTTATTGATTTATATTCGTCGACCACTGCTTTCTTTCTACGGACTTCTGATCTTACTTGTACGACCCTTGCTATCATACCGGACACCGATAATCAATCTATACAAATAAATAAAATTGAAGTGTCTGTTTGTAATGTCAAAATTACAGCGTTTTACTTAATGCATATGGAAATATAAACGGTACTTGTAACAAAAATATACTTTTTTAAATTTTTGTCTGTTTGTTCCGGCTAATCTCCGAAACGGCTGGACCGATTTTGACGGTAATTTCACTGGAATGGCATACACTAGAAGGTCCTCAGTTAACCGGTTTCGCCGATACCCGTACTGGTGGTCACTGAGGAGGTCATTTCGTTCTATATATGACATTAGGTGGATGTTCAATATACGCTCCATAATTTTGCAGATTATTGAATTAAGTTTTCTATTCCTCTGAACTTGTCGCCGTAGACATACTCGCCCCGGGAGAACTTGAGTGTTCATGGACTGCACTTACCATTAGGTGAACTGCACTCCAGTTTTATTAGTAAACAAAAACTTGATCGTACATACCTTTCAGACTCGTGAAACCGGCTGTAGGATTCAGACCGAACAACCCGCAGTAGAAAGCTGGCATGCGAGTCGACCCGCCGATGTCCGAACCTAGATATCAAACAAGACATTTTTTTTTTCAAAATTATGTACTTATTTTTTTTTCACATTCTTTTTCTTGTCATCTGATTCTGAACTACGTTCAAAATTTCAAATACCTAGCTAAATCGGGAAGTAAGTTTAAAATCAGTTACTAAATTCGACCCGAACATACCATAAAGCAAAGCGAGTTAATGAATACGTGTTAACATGCTAATATTACATCTGGAATTTGGCATGCCCCTTGCGCTGTTGTCTTTTCACATGATTGTGTCGCCACGTCCCGGTTATTTTTAATAAATTGATGTTTTCTCAACATTTGATCACGCTCACAAATGGTCAGTGTAGAGAACCAGATACCATTTTTACTGGAAACGTGGCGTTACATCTTAGTCCTCAGGGATGACAACGCATCTGCATTTTGATTTTTAATCAATGATAGATGTGTTTATAAACCATAGCTTCTACTTACCGCCAGGTGGACTATGCTCGTATACAAGGTTATTTTGCAATATTCGGCCAAATTAGCATAGAAATGCGAATTAATAGAAATGTGGCGAATAGTGATATAAAATTAATTTAAAAAAATATCGCAAACATTCTGCCCTTTTGGAACGAAGTTCTTTATCGGACGGTACGAATTTGGCGGATGGGGGCTAGGCGAGAAAAAGTGTAAGATTTTTTCCGTCTTCTGACGTAGTGTAGACTGCCTTGGCGGCTATAAGGAAGCGAGATGGAATAATATTCATCTCCCACGTACTTTTTCTTATCTTCCTATGAAAGAAATATTATTTTATTTTAAATGACGCTTTATTTTTATAGACGCTAGTAATCCATTTATTTGCATTTGTTAATCAATAATATAATACGTTTATCAATAATAATGTATTAAAAGCGTCAGTAGCCTAAAGGCAGGGCGCGGACCGCGAACTCGAAAGGTCGTGGGTTCGAATCCGCCATTCGACTACTGTCGTGAACAACTCCAACAGAGTGTTCCACGACACTAACGCATGTTTTTTATTTTTTTATGAATGCGTGGTAATGTATTATTTTAACTGATTGTCATTCATAAATATCTAACGCCTACTATTTTACTACGCACGCATACATTCGTAAGGGTCGCTCGGTTACAAAATTTAAGTACCTTGTCGCGCGCCTTCCTGCGCCCTACCCTTCCGTTTACCCTTACACCGTTAGGTACCTACGTCCGCCGGACAGTCGACAGCTGACAATGTTGACCGTGATCTCATTAATACAAGTGTTTTACTACTATTTTTAAATTTTCGTAAGTATTAGTGTCGCTTCGTTATCAATGACAGAACGAAAATATTCAAACCGCGAATACTATGAAACTATGAAATTGTGTGGTATTACATTTTAAGCAATGAAAGTTTACGGGGTGCGCAAAAATTGTACGAAAGTGTCTTTACCGCGGCTAGAAATTAATATACGTTATTACGTGTATTACCAAATCGAAGTACAATTGATAGCTAATCAAACAATTTAAGTGCAATTTGAGCGATAATTTAAATAGTGAATATAAAGATAGGTGGATTGCGCACGGAGGCCCTATACTATGGTCTGCAAACTCGCCAGAACTTTCAACGTTAGACTTTCACCCCACAGATAAAAAAATTTGACGTAAACACGACTCTTTATTTCAATAAAGTTATGACGACCGCTACAGTAACATTATTGCTGCGTTCACGGAAGTTAAAAGTGCTGAAGTACAGGTAATAAGTGTAAAAAATAATTTAAGAAAACGTGCTCTATGCATAGAGAAAAACGAGTTCAATTTTGAGGTACCAATATTAGTTACTGGGACAACTTGCGTAATTTAGTTATTAATAGGGTTTCCATTTTTTTTAAAACGTCATAATAATTACAGTCGTCGGTTACGTCGTTGATAAGCAAAAATATTTCATTTTTATTTTATTTATTACGACTATTCTAAGCCTGTTAAAAGTGTGAAGGGAAAATTGGAATCATAATTCGCGTCGTGTAGTTAACTTAGGCATTAGTAATAAGTGTGTCACTAAGTAAGCATTAGGCAAAAACTTGAGGAACGAAAACGTGAATGAATCGCATAGGTATAATTGTTGCCCATAAACCACATTCAATTTGGGATAGTTTCAAATAAAAGTAGAAGGCTTATTTACACGTATTTTCGAAAAAACTGAAATAACCTAACAATCGATTTCTTATATTTACGCGGACACTACACATTACACGTTGAATAAAACTATGTTTTCGGATTTGAGATATTTGACGTCCCGGTATATCATCATTTATATATTTGAACTTAATTAAACAATTTGGCTACTCTTTGGAAAATAACAATGTGTATATTTATTTTATAGAGTACTCCCTCATGTAATATTTTGACTCTGCAAAATACTTACACAACGAAATAGGTGATGCAATAGCAGCTACTAGAGCTGCCTCCCCACCACTGGAGCCCCCCACAGTACGCCCAGTATGGTACGGGTTTGATGTCTGTCCGAACACCATGTTTCGTGTCTCTTGCCTGTGAAAGTATACAGGAAAATCAACGTTATGGCTAACATCGATAAGTCGGCTCGAGTGGGAAAGACAAAGTTCATCACGAAGAATACCAGCATGTTTTTTTACAGATAGGGTAACAAACGAGCAAACAGTTCACATGATGGTAAGTGAAAGATGCGGCCCATAGGATGTCTATGACATTTTTTTTTATAGGATAGGGTGACAAACGAGCACACAGTCCACCTGATGGTAAGTGGTTGCTGTGACCCATAGACTCAATAAAGAATCAAAATGCAGATACGTTGTCACCCGTGAGGACTAAGATCGAATGCCTCGTTTCCAGTAAAACGGGGCTCCGGTTCTCTACACTCACCATACGAAACAGCAGTGTTAAGCTGCTATTTTACGCTGGTATTCAGTGAGAGCGTGGTCCTTCCCCGCTCGCGCCGACGCATTCGTGCTACAGCTATACTAGTAATATAGCTGCAGCATGGCTCTAAAACGTTGTAAAATCTATCTATATATTATCTATCATCCCATAGAAATCTACGTCCATCCTCGATTAAGAATCAAAATGACAACGCATGTCATCTGAGGACTAAGATAGAATACTTCGTTATTAGTAAGAGTCTTCGTTTCTCTACGCTGCCATTTTGCGATAGGAATTATGTGAGAGCGAAGACCTTTACCGGTCGAGCGGATCTATTTGTGCTACAATCATAATATAGTTGCAGCAAAATTCTAAAGAATTTTCTATGGTCAGTGACGAGACTCAGATTCTCGTAGTTTATTGTAATGAAGAGTTTATGTAATCCGCAGGTGTGACAATGCATTTGAATTCTGATTCTTAATAGAAAGTAGATGATGGTGTCTATGGGCAACCACTTACTATAACATGGACTGAGTTCATCCTCAGAGCAAAAAACTTCACAAATGGACTTCTGCTACACACAAACTGACACAAACAGGGTAGTAATATCCTCTTGCGCCGCTACTACACGGCATAAGGTTTGTTACACACGTAGCTATAATGTATATTCAAATAAGTTATAGATATTATTACGATTGTATTTTCTATAATAATCTTTGAATGCTCAGCTATAATATATATTTTTATACCATCTTTTTCATGCTTCATCTTTATTGAGTAGCGCAAAATCAATTATGGGGTTATATGAATGTATTATCCAAATACATTGCCATTAAAGTTGTCATTATCTTATAACGCAACATATGTACTTTAATCTATACAAATAAATAAAATTGAAGTGTCTGTTTGTAACGCCAAAATTACAGCTTTTACTAAATGCATATATGAATACGGTAAATGAAAATAAATACGGTACTTATAACTAAAATACAATTTTTAAATTTTTGTCTGTCTGTTTGTTCCGTTCAATCTCCGAAACGGCTGGACCGATTTTGATGAGACTTTCATTAGCAGATAGCTGATGTCATAAGGAGTAACTTAGGCTACTTTTATTTTAGAAAAAGAATCAGGGTTCCGCGCAAAAAAATAAAAACCCTAACACGCGAGCGAAGTCGCGGGGAACAGCTAATATATTAAATATAATATAATAAGGGGCAACAGAAAGGACCTCCGGGTGTCACATTACTAGGCCTTCGGGGCTACCGCTCCGTATGGCTGCAAACCCAGATGCCCAGTTTCTGGTAAGGGAACACCATTATCAATTGGGAGGGCCGTGAATAACGCCGCAACACTACTACGCCGTGTAGTGGCGCCGTAAGAGAATCTACTAGCTCATATTCCGTGGACGCTGTAAGACGCGACAGAGGGAGACTGAGACAGGAGATAGGCAGCAGCATCTTACCGATAACAGCTCCAAATAATAAAAACAGCAAATATGACGATATCAATGAGAGAGGCCTACGTTCAAAAGTGGACTTTGATAGACTGTAGTGATGACGATGATGGTGAACACCTGATTAGGTAGCACGTAGGGCATCCACGACTTTTTCTGCCACCAAGACGGCCCCACTTAAAAGTGAGGTATAATATTTGACAGATATAGTGGGGAACTTAATTTGTACGAAAAATGTAAAGGTTGATGTTTCCTTTCCTGTTACCTATATTTTACATTAATAAGAGTAAAAATAAACATACCAAACACAGATTATTCATCAGAGTAGAAAAAATTTAAAAACTAAAAAGCAAAATACTGAGGCATTGTTTTGTATATTAATATAATACTTTTTAAACTGATAAACTTTTATTAAAAACTAACCTCTCAATTAAATGATTTTGTGTAACAAAAAACTTTACCTCAGTGTCAACTAGCGACATCTGGTGAGCAGAAAATGATTAGCCCTCATTCAAGAGGCTTGTAGGTGTTGATGATTATTTGGCTCTGTATCGCTACCGCTAGCGCATAACTAGTATACACTTACATATAACCTGTCTCATTCTTATATTATACGTGGTAGAGCCACAATGCAGCTATAATATGGTTGTAGCAAGAATGGGTCGGCTCGACCGAAGTGGGACCAAGGTTTTATAGAATACCAGCGTAAATAAGCAGCTTAATGCTGCTGTATTTCGTATGGTGAGTGTGGAGAAGCGGAGTCTTTTTTTACTGGAAACGAGGCATTCCATCTTGGTACTCAGGGGTAACAACGCATCTGCATTTTCATTCTAAATCGAGAATAGACGTAGAAGTCTATGGGTCACAGCATTAACTGACTTTCACTTATTCTAAAAATATAAACTCACCATTTATTAATCTCGGGCACGTTGGTGACGGCGACAGGAATGGCACCGGCACGTCTCAGTAGGAACACGCAGTGCGCATCTTCGTGTGCACGCATATGCTTTCGCAACGATATGCCCAAAGTGTGCAGCATCCCCGACACTGCATGACTCTCTTTCGCAGTGAATGGAACTCCTAAAAAGTTTTTTTTAACGTATGGTGTTTCGAATTTCTAATAAAAATACACGCTTTTAATAACTTGATTTGTATGTATGTTTGAAGTGACTGGTGGCCGACCGAAGATGGATTCCTGGTCGAAGTCGAAGGCTTAAAAACCCTAAGAAATTAGGTTCAAAATTGGCTAAAATTAATAACATAAATGATTTTAAAACTTTTAAATTAAATGTTTATTTTGACTGTACTATAATATAAAAAGGTAATTTTAACTATCACTTGATCAACTTTTGGAGAACATAAAAATTACGTCGCTACGTCCATCGCGCTCTCGCTCATTCGATAGTTTGTTCAATTTCGGCATCTGCTAGAAACCTTCGACTTTGGCTATAACTTCGGTTCATTGTGGCCGAAGCCGACGATTTCGTCAAAGGTGATTTTTTGGCCGAAGGTAGCCGAAGTCGAAGCTTAAGTCGAACACTAGAAGCGACAGTAGCCTTAATGGTAGGGTTCAGACCACGAACTCAAAAAGTTGTGGATTCAAATCCGCTATTTGACTACTGTCATTAATCAATTCTAACACAAGCATTTTAAACTTAATGCTATTGTATTCGCACTGTATTCGCAGCTTTCTTGATATGAAAATATTCTGACAATCAAATTAATTCTCACTGAATCATCATCATTACAGCCTTTCACAAGTCCACTGCTGAACATAGGCCTCCCCTAAGGAATGCCACAAAGCACGGTCCTGAGCCACCTGCATCCATCGACTTCCTGCATGTCTTACCAGGTCGTCACTCCATCTAGTTGGGGGTCACCCTACACTTCGCCTACCGGTACGAGGCTGCCACTCGAGAACCTTTCTTCCCCATCGGTTGTCGGTTCTTCTAGCTATATGGCCGGCCCACTGCCACTTCAGCTTACTAATCCGTTGGACTATGTCGGTTACTTTGGTTCTATTGCGGATATACTCATTTCTAAGTTTATCACGCAGAGACACCCCGAGCATAGCCCTCTCCATAGCTCGCTGAGCGACCTTCAGCTTCCTCATACGGCCAGCAGTGAGGGACCACGTCTCAGATCCGTAAGTCATCACTGGCAACACGCACTGAATATCAACGTAAAATAGAAGCTTCATGCTACTGTGTTTCGTGTGGGGACTGTGAAGAACCGCAGAAACTTATTACTGGATGGGCATTCTATCTTAGTCATCAAGGGTGACATCGCGTCTGCATTTTGATTCTTAATTGAAGATGTAGGTGCCTATGGGCCACAGCATCTACCTACCATCAGGTGGACTGTGTGCTCGTTTGTCGCCCTACGTATACACTTACACTAGTATGTAGGTACACTTTGTATGCCGTGATTGCTATATACCTAACTTTAAGGAGAGCTATCATAGCTCAAAAACCATAAGACGCAATGTACTACACAAAGTGACTATCATTTTGATGTCAACCAAGTTAGCAAATTCGCCTGCTGGAGTGGTTAAAAGGAATAATATAATAATACATAATCTGATATCGAGCGATCGATGACAATACAATGACTCCATGACCATGACCTAGTATTCTCACTTGGATCATTACAGTTCAAGATCAGTGCGTATTTTTAAAGATTTAAATATATCTTTATAACTCTCAAATTATTTATGAGTAATATTAAAATAAGACTGTTCAAACCACATCATTAGATTATTATTTATGCGGTCGGTGAACCGGTTTTGTAGGTTTTAAACTGTAATCAATTAAGATAGAATAGAGGGAACATAAAAAAATGTTTACGCCAAGAAAATTTAACTACTAACTACGGTCCATTAGTCGGTCATAATTTGCGTAAGCCAGTAATCGTCTCCGAAACAGACAGCCCTGATTTAATGAATCTGATTCTTTTTTTATATACAGAATAATGATGTCAAAAGAGCACAGTCCACCTGATGGTAAGTGGATACTGTGAACACCTACATTTACCTTCGTTTAAAAATCAAAATGCAGATGCGTTGTCAAAAAGGCCCTCAGGTTCTCTACACTCACCATACGAAACACAGCAACATTAAGCTGCCATTTTATGCCGTTACTCCGTGAGAGCGTGATCCTACCCCGATCGAACCGACCCATTCGTGTTACAAGTACCTATAATATAGCTGCAGCATGGCTCCACCACGTAAAAAAAATTTCTCCGTCTATCCATCTTACCAAGAAAAGGTTTCTTTTCAAACTCGGCAGTACCCTCTTCGATAGTCTTGTCCACATGGCGGGCCTCTTTTAACGCCTCTTCATATCTCTCGTCTGTCACTGCATTTAGTATTGGATTCACCTGAAGGAAAGAAAGACAGTTAAACCTCGCTATCAGAGGGGGTTGCTGGTAACAACGCGTTAATTTTAATCACCGTTAATTTTTTAGCTGAGAACCAATAACCAATATATCATAAAGATAATATACCATATGGTCGTAACGTGGAACAAACTTCGCGGCAGCGCTTTTACTTTCATTGAATGAAACTAGTTTTACGGTTCCGTAAAACTAGTTCTATTCGATGTATAGTATACGTGTTAATATAAGGAATCATAATGATTTCACTTTTATTTGGCAACTAGCTGATACCCGCGACTTCGTCCGCGTTGCTTGATATATTAACAAAGTTTTCGTATGTGCGAAGGAAAAAAACATCAAAAAGATCGCATACAAAAGAGGAATGCCCAATTCTGGCCATGAAACGCCCAACAATTTGCATTTGTTAAAAAAATACATCTCTGTTTATGGTAATTAATAGCGGTATTTATGTATCCAAAAAAGATTGCAATATTTTTCCACAAAAAAAAAGTACTGAAAAGATAAAAACGAAATTAGGTAAATCCGCAAGTTATTAGTTTGTGGATAAAATAAAAAGTGTTGTCAATCACAAATCTCGTTAAAAAGGCGATTCTGTTTTTTCAATCGATTTTTTGTGGCGTCATTATTATAATGGTAATATTATTTTTCGATAATTATTATGATGTTATGATAATTAAACAAGCGAATTGCTAGTTGATTTACCATGAACTCTTTAGAACATAACAAAAATGCTACTGCATAATTTAACTGTTATTTTTATCTGTTCTTAAAAAAAAAAGAAAACATTTAAAACCAATTTAAAAATAAATTAAACAAAACATATTTTAAAAGGCGTGCAGAACTTAAAGCGGATCAAAGATTATTCTTTTTTATTAAATTATAAATCGAATAAAAAATCACTATCTATTTATCGATTTTCTGTCTGTTAATTGGCACCATCGAATCTGACAGCTAGGCCCATGTCATAATTATCAAAACTAAATAGTCACAAGTCGAACTCCTTTGCATTTGTGTTATTTTATTTGTTTTCTCGCGGATTTGTTATCTAAGAAACGAATAAGCTTTCTAAATGGACTCCGATAATTCTTCTCATTTATTGTTAAAAACTGTTCTTGTCAAAATAAAAAAATCTTTATATCTTAAAAATCCGGACTTTTTTTTTACCAATTCCTTAACCATTTCATTATTTTAATTGCATATTATCATTCCCATATACTTTTATATGTGGGCACCCATGGCCGAAGTGTCTATGAACGGTGGGCATTCCCCTTTCTTTGTAAACAATGTTATTCATTGCTCCGTTTGTAGCTAAAACATATAAACTATCTGTGTTAGCAACGCCAGAGCACGCGACGTACAGTTGACCGTGTGAAAAAAACTTAGAAAACCTAATTTAAATCTGTCCAGTAGTTTTTCCGTGATCCGCGCACATACTGCAAATTATTTAAATAGATAGATAAGTTGATCAGTAAGATTCTTCTTTTGGTCGTCGAAATTACAAATTAATTCCGACAGTATACGGTAAGGTGTTGGCAAGAAGAGAATTTTTACTATAATCCTTTATAGAATATTCACTATCACTATCAGTACAGACCACCACACACCCACAGCTGAACATAAGCCTCCACCATAGACAAAGTATGGTACTGAGCCCGAGCCACCTGCATCCATCGACTAACTGCGATATTATATGATATTACATATATAATGTCAAATATAAACTGTGTGTAACGGCATAAGAGTAGCGTAATCTATCACCCCTTTTTGTCCCGTGGTTTTTGTAAGTCCTAAGAGAAATATACGGAAAAAAATTAAAAATTAAAAAATTTGTACAACCGGTTTCAATACAAGTTAATAGTTATAAGGTCCTTGACCCACCAGCTTTCAAATAAAAAAGAATCATCGAAATCGGTTCACATAGAAAAAAATTATGAGGTAACACACATAAAAAAAACATACAGTCGCATTGAGTACATCTTCGTTCTTGAAGTTGGTAGATAAAATCTCTGCTTCCGTTGGACGGCGAGATAACTATCTCGTTGCCGCCAGACGTCCAGACCGGCCTCGGAACTCGGAAGCAGAGGAAATAATGTGAAAAGTGCAACCTGCAAACCTACTGCAATGGCCAAGCGTGACTATTAAGGTAAATCTAATGCCATCAAAAACATAACATGTAAAAAAACCAAGTCTCGCAACTCAGTTCTACCGTAAAAAGTTGTGAGATCCATGTAATACCAAGTCGGTTAATTTATTCAGTCCCTACTTAAGGGTCCTTCTGTTTTAAGTTATTACGTAATTAGCTAACCTAACAACTTCTCCGTGGCCCCAGATAATTCAACTAAATATAATTTTCTGCTTTCTGTGATAGTGTCCATCTAAAGGTTGTCTGGAAGAAATCGCTTTTAGCGATGAGACCGCCCATTGTGATGCTATTTTTTTTTCTTCTTCTTTCGTTTAATGTATTGCTTTGATGTTTTTTTTTTATAGGATAAGGGTGACAAACGAGTACACAGTCCGTCTGATGGTAAGTGGTTACTGTGGCCCATAAACATCTACATCTATCCTCAATTACGAATTTACATGCAGATGCGTTTTCACCCGTGAGGACTAAGATTGAATGCCTCGTTATTAGTAAAAAGGGTCTCCGGTTCCGGTGGTATTGTCATTGATCGGTTGTCTACACTCACCATACGAAACACTATCTGTCTAAATCCTCTCTATAAATGGGATATTTTTATTCCCACCGTGCACTTTAGCGGGCTTATGAGGAAGATGAAAAAATATACCGATAGTATTGGTATACATGTTGCAAAAGAAGACATGGTCATGAAACTAAAAGATCCTTTTAGCATACCCCATATTAAACCCATGGTGAATTTGTAGGACCACTTACAGAAAATACCAGCGTGAAATAATGTATTTCATGGTGAGTGTAGAGAAACGGAGACACAAGGGTGACAATACATTTGCATTTTGATTCTCAATAGAGATTAGAAATAGCGATGTCTATGAGCCACAGTATTCACATGTAGCGAACTGTGCGCTCGTTCGTTACCCTTATTGTATATAATAATAATAAATATCTCGTGTTTTCTCATTGCGTCCAGAAGGAGTCGTAAGGGGTGACTTACGACTCCTACTGGACGGAATGGGAAAACACGCAATAAAATGTTGTGTTTCCTTAACTTACAAAAGCCAAACCGATGTCAATATCCTCAAAATCCGAAGGTCATATTGCATGAAAAAAAATGAATTACGTGAATTTGCTATAGTTGAAACAATCAATTATAATTAATAACCGATCATTCACAAGGACGTAACAAAAACAGTAACAAAAAAAAAACTGGAACACAAACAAATAAAAAAGTTGTAAAGCCAGTTTAATAAAACTTCGATCGATATATTTTTTGTTCACGAAGGATTCCATTCTAAATGGAATATTTTTAAAAATGCAATGAAGTGGAAAATTTATATAAGTATATTTTATGACGCTTTTATTAGCTTCACTTGTAAGAATATCCACTACCCCATTATCGTTCCGTGGGTATCGTAAACATAAAATAAAAAAAAACTGCGGTTGTCAACCCGTTTGCCAAGCTTACCACGCTTGGACTAACATGAGGCCTATGAGGCACTCTATAAGAAAATTTAGCAGTGGACTTTTAACAGACTGTTATTTGAATTTTTTTAATTCAATTTTCACTAATTTCTGGACGACTTAATAATCGGAAATTTTGCAGATGTATTAAGAACCGAAATAACAACACTGTAATTTCATAACTATGAAGCAAGGGTCAAAAATGGTCCCGGGCGACAAATTTTGGGGAGCAGCATTTTGAGAATGGAAGTCGGCTCCCCGCTAGTAAAAACCCAAAAAATATCTGAAAACTTATGATTCATACATTACGACTTTACGACCACTGTAGTATTACAAGTTCTGGAAATAATATGTCACGCACGCACTTAAGAGTAAGCATAGGTATAAAAATGTTATATAAATGTTTAAATAATATACACACTATCAGAGATTATAGTGTTTACGATACACAGCTACTAGCACACTAATCCTAACCTTCCTTATCTTGATCATCTGCCCGTAAAATCCTACAGCTGGACACGGGCCTCTCGTTGTAGGGGAGGATTTGCCTTCATCGTCACGCTCGGCAAGCGGATTGACGATGATAGTAGACCAGACGTGTCGCACCTATAACTGCCTGTCGACGGCTCGTCGGTCTGGGGAGTAAGCTTAAGCAAAAAATATCGATATATCGATATTTTCTTATAAAATATCGATATATATCGTCTATATTTTAATCGTTATATATCGATATTTATTTTAGAGTATCGAATTCGTATCAATTTCGATATATTTTAAAATTTTGTGTTATTCTATCTTAGTCATCAGTCCTCATTACCAGTAAAAAAGGGTTATTGGTTCTCTTCACTCACCATAAAGCTGTTATTTTACACTGGTATTTTATGAGAGCGTGGTCTTCTCCAGGTGAGCCAACCTATTGTGCCACAACCATAATTTACTTTAACAATTTGCTTTTTGTTGTTGGAATATTTTTTATTGGTAACAGCAGTTTTATGTTGGTTGACAATACTAAAGGCCTCCAGACCGAATTTCGGTCACGGCGGCCAGCCTCAACGGAGGCTAACCGTCGGTGTAGGACAGGATTATAGTGACCAAATATATGCGCAAGCACAGGTGCACTCTCTATTTCCTCATTCATAGTCCGATGGGACGGTAAACCGACACGACTGGAGAGAGATCAGGCGTAGGACCAACGGCTTTACGTGCTTTCCGAGGCACGGGGGCGTATACCGCCAACTTCTTGACTCCGAGCAGCTACTGAAAATTTCTTGACAGATAAACTCAATAACAGATTTTTTTGGCTCGACTTGGGATTCGAACTCGGGACCTCATGAACAGCAGTCGCGTTTACAACCACTACACCAACGAGGCAGTCTGGTTAACAATAGCCTAATGCTTATCATTGTATTTTGTATGGTATGGACTATGAAACATGAAGATTATAATGAGGATGGGGTGCCAGTAATTCTCATGACACCCATAATAACATCTCAGAGTGCAATAAGTACCTGAATACCAGTGCATCATGACAGAAAAGGCGAGTCACCTAAAATTCATCACCAGCATTATCATTGCTACAACACTTTACAAGTCCACAGCTGAACATAGGCCTATCTCCAAGGAATGCCAGAAATACCTACCTGTCCTAAGCTACCTCTGGTTGCCTACATTTTTTTAGCATTAAGTTTTTAGTTTTGTAAAATTGTTATTTAATGTGACACTGAAGTATTTTTTTAATAAAAATTTAAGAGACAAATGAACTTGCAGTCCACCTGATGGTATGTGGCTACAACCTCTGGTGAACTCCAACATAAATCAAATAATAGCTACAAATTGAATACCAGCGTAAAATAGCAGCTTAACGCTGCTGTGTTTCGTATGGTAAGTGTAGAGAACCGGAGACCCTTATTACTGGAAATGAGGCATTCCATCTTAGTCCTCACGGGTGACAACGCATCTGCATTTTGTTGGATGTAGATGTCTATGGGCCACAGTAACCACTTACCATAAGGTGGACTGTGTGCTCGTTTGTCACCCTATCCTATAAAAAAAAATGCATTGTCACCTGCGAGGACCAAGATGGAATACCCCACAGCCTGTAATCATACTGACTATTTATCCTTTAGACTGGTACACAGCAGTGCGTGCATTGCTACTTGTCCGCAGAAATATTGTCGAACTTACTCTATACAGAGAAAATGGCAGAAAAGAAGTCCTAACTTCATAAATAGTAATTACTGGGATGGAAAAATCATGATTTTTTTAATTTTAATCAGATCACGCTGATTTTCTTGAATTTTTGTATTTTTTTTTTTGTATATTTTGAAATTCACGAGTTGGTAACACTTTTTGACGTGGTAGGATTAAAAATTTATAAATACATATGTATGAGTAAAATAATTAATACTGTATTAATTACAGTTGATATCTTAAGGGTGAAATTCTAAAAAAATATTTTGGTTGATTTTACTAAGTTTATGAGACTATTGTAGTAGAATAATAAGAATAACATAAAACAATAAAAGATTTTACCTTATTTTAAGCCTGTTTTATTTCATTTTCCGCCTATTACGTTAATTTATACATGATGATTTAAAGCAATGATTTTTTAATCAAAATCAAGCAATTTGAATCAGCCAACCCTAATTATTTATTTATTATGTATATTTATTAACTTATATTATATGGATATTTTTTTTTTATAGACTAGAAAGACCAGTATCACTGCGACCTGTAAGATCTATTTTGATCGCTGCTATAACTATAGTTCACTGTTAAGCCCTATGTCTGTAATAATTTGAAGGAGTTGCTTAGCTGTGAGTAATTTCACTTCTTCTTCACTTTTATGGCTAAATACCAAACCGCCTTCCAAGTATGGCAATTGGCAACTTAGGTGAAAATCCTTTCTATGAAGCAATCTACGGTTGAATTCTATATTCAGCAGTGGACTTTACCAGGTTGTAATGAATGAATAAATTTATTTATTTAATTGCAACGGCTGATGGCTCAGTAGTGAAGTTACAGCCTATATACATTTCTTTTTTATAGGATAGGGTGACAAACGAGCATACAGTCCACCTGATGGTAAGTGGTTGCTGTGGCCCATAGACATCTACACTAAGATGGAATGCCTCTTTTCCAGTAAAAAGTCTCCAGTTCTCTACACTCACCATACGAAACACAGCGGTGTTAAGTTGCTATTTAACGCTGGTATTCTGTGAGAGCGTGGTTGTTCTCCAGTCGAGCAGACCCATTCGTGCTATAACTATACTATTAATATAGCTGCAGCATGGCTCTACCACGTATAAACGCACGCACAGACCTCCTCTGAGAGGGTTTTAGGGCAAGGAAATGTCCACCGCGCACATGCCCCAATGCGTGTTGGCGAGCTTACATGTCTTCGAAATATTTTTTTATTTTATTTCACAGACATGCAGGTATTCCTCATATTTTCTTTCACTACCAAGCACATCGTAAATTATCACATAAAATTGCAATTAACAATTTCATTGGTGCAAGTAATTGTTTGGCTGTGTCTCTGCAAGTTGTAGTTTAATTCCACATCTATATGTATGGTGTACTAACAAAAATTATGGGTCTGGGTTCTTTTCTAGGTGCAATTTACGATTTTAAACACTGCTATAACACAAATTAAATTGTAGTTAACCGACTTCAAAAAACTGAGGAGGTTCTCAATTCAACTATATTTTGTTGTGGTAGGTGACCCAATTTTGATGATTCTTTTTTTTTATTTGAAAGCTGGTGCTTCTCATGTGGTCCCATATATAAATTTGATTAAGATCTGACCACTAGTTTTTGAGTTATCTTTAATAATGCATAATTAATTGACTTCAACTACATTGATAAAGTTCTCATTTTATTTATATTTTTACCACTTGTTAGACAAAACAGTGGTAAAATTGAAAAATTTTGTACAACCGACTTTGATATAAATAATTTATTGCTGATTTTTTTAAAAACCGCTTGACCAATATTGATAAAATTTTAATGGGAGTACCTGGGGAGTATACCCTTTGGAACAAAAAAATAATTTTCTAAATTGGTTCAGGCATCTTCGAGTAATCAATGAACATACATTAAAAAAAAGTTTTTGACAAATTGAGAACCTCCTCCTTTTTCAAGTCGGTTGAAAATTAATTGAGATAGTGAATTAATATCCATACAACTACCATTTTATTGAATGTAGTTGTTTTATTAATAAATAAGCTTTAGCTGTGTGACTTAAAATAAATACAGTCTCCTCCAATGGTAAGTGGCTACTGCAGTCCATGGACAACATACAGGGGCCAACAAACATGCAGTTCAAATGATGATGATGAGTGACCAGTGCCTAGGGTTGCCACCTGTACTATAATATAGTATTGTTCTATATTTCGGTCAAATGTACTATATATTATAGAAAAATAACATAGTATGAAAAATACTATATTTTTAGCCCTAATGCAAGTGTCGTGCTTATATTAACTGTGACTGGAAGTCTGGAACAAGTATGTTTTATGGAAAAATATTCCGTCATGAATGTAAAATAGAAAGAAATAGAGCATATATTAATACAATTAAAAATGAATTGTTAGTTTATTTTAATATGAATCTAAAATGTTCAGATTCCTATACTTATTTTTAAGGGAATAGATCATTGATGGCCAAAGCAATGAGAAATAACAAATATACATATGGCAATATACATAAAAATGAAAAATAAATGTGTACTTTTTTTCCTCAACTTCCCAAAAGTACTGCATTTTTTTGGGAAACAATATTTGTTCAAAAAAAGGTGGCAGTCCTACCAGTGCCATCCATGAACATCGGCAAGATCATAAGAATAGCAGGTGCTTTATATGCCTTTTATAAAGGAGCATGCAATCAAATTCAAATAAAGACAGCTACATATTTACTATCTTCCCTAAGGGCTAAAACGAAATACCTAACAGCCTTTATAATTCTAGTTGTCGTGACTTTTAAACATGAACATAATAGGGGGTGCAATGTCACCTGGCGGTAAATAAGGTAAAATGCTGGTAACTACCCAACAGATTGTTTGGCTAAAAAGGAACCCTTCCACCTAATAAATTATAGTATATTAAATTCCACCAGTGCTTTGTAATTAATAGATAAATAGAAGCAATACTTACAAGTTTAATCCTTTCAATGCAAGCTCGAACTAGGTCCTCAGATTTTAACTCTTTGTTACGAATTTTCGAAGCAAGGCTTACAGCGCTATTTGACAAAATATTATGCTCCTTCTTCAGATCTGGTATAGGCTGTCTGTATTTATCCCAGTACAATGAGAATAAAAAGTCTATAAAGATATCAAAGTACGTCCGGAGAAGAAGAAAGAATTGCTTAAACATATCTGACGCCATACCTTTAAATATTTTATTTATTTTCGTATTTCGATGCTGGAAAAACAAAATAAATTTTTAATGCTAAATAATGCTTAATGCTAAAAAGCAAGGCTAAACTTATACTTTCCAAACAAACCTAAGTACATTTATGTAAACAAATTTAAAAAAATAAAAAAATCCGACGCAAAAGCATACACATTACACAAACACATTTAGAAATTTGAGATCACTGAGAAGTTGGTTGGCCTAGATACTTTCACTTTCCAACAACAGAGTGATGACGCACTATTTAAAATTTAATATTTATTATTACATACCTATATAGTATATTATTTAATGATTATAAAATAAATAGAATGTATGTACCAAATATACAATTTTTATATCTTTATTGTGTCACTGTCATTTATCAGTTTGTCACTTTCATTTTTCATTATCATTGAGCCATGGACATGGAACAGAAAACAGATAATTAATTAATAACGATGCAAAGTGCAAACCGGTGCAAACTGTGCAAATTTCCAAAATGAGCTATTTTATTTGAAAATACCCTTAAAATATATTCCTATAGGTAATAAAATAATATATTTTATTAGAGTTAATACACATATTAGGTAAAAACATACGTACCTTGGAACTTTTTTCTTTTTTGCGCTTTGCATTTAACTTTTCTATACGTGCGCTCTGAATAGACATCGTACTCCGAATACGAGGATTACGAGGTACGCTTACGACTACGAGTCATTAATATTAATAATTTAGATATCATTTATGTAATTTTGTTATTTCAAAGCAAACTGTTTGATTTAAAAAGTACTTTAAATGTAGTTATTTAGGGGAAGTAAACTTGCAATATGCGCGGCAACAAGCGCAAGCATAGATAATATACCTACTATACGGGCGAACGCAAGTATAAATCACTTACTTATTGGCTACTTGCTTTAACGTAGTTGTTGACACAAACTAATAAGAAGTTTGTTGATCACATTCACACTACACATAATATACGCAAACATAAGTCACTTTATTGCTTAAATTATTATTATGTTTTTCTATCAGTTGCTCATAATGCTAATTATTGATTGTGCAGGATAACAAGCTAGATCGCTATTCAACAACTTTATCTGATATATTTTTACTTTTAAGTATTTGTAAATATGATGAAATAGAGATATTATCTCTGGTAGGTACTCTGGGTACCAATCTATTTACCTACCACAGAGTACAGTTGTTCTGTCAGGAGGGGTATAGAAAGCCAGTACGATAACAGACTGTGGCTTTGTTTGTTTGAAGTTTTTTTTATAGGATAAGGGTGACAAACGAGCACACAGTCCACCTGATGGTAAGTGGTTGCTGCGGCCCATAGACATCTACATCTATCTTCGATTAAGAATCAAAATGCAGATGCGTTGTCACCCGTGAGGACTAAGATGGAATGCCTCGATTCCAGTAAAAAGGGTCTCTGGTTCTCTACACTCACTATACGAAACACAGCAGTGTTATGCTGCTATTTTACGCTGGTATTCTGTGAGAGCGTGGTCCTTCCCCGGTCGAGCCGACCCATTCGTGCTACAACTATACTATTAATATAGCTGCAGCATGGCTCTACCACGTATAAAGGTTGGTTGCAGGTTCCCATGGACTCCCCCTAAACGGGTTCCAGCCTTGTCGTAGTGGGAGGCTTAGTAGCCGTGTCTTGGTCACTCACGACGAACAAAGTTAAGAGGAACTATCTTGGGTAATAAGTAAAATATAGAAAGGAGGAAATACTCCAAAAAATTCCTAATAACATGATGATTAAGCAATAATTTAGTTAGTGGCTTGACGGCTCCGTAGCGCAGAGGCATTACAATGAGTCGTAGCGTTAAGGGCCGTGGGTTCGAATCCCGCACGAATATTTGTATGGCCTACAAATATTTGTTCCGAGTCTGGATGTTTGCCCTTGTAAAATATATGTATGTAAACTGCCCCCACGATACAGGAGAAAATCCTAGTGTGGTAGTTAGATTTAAAAAAAATTGAATATCCACTATCCCGCGGATATTGTAAAACGCGACAAAGGGAAACTGAAACAGGAGACAGGCAGCAGCATCTTCGGGATAACAACTCGAAATTATTAAATGTAAAAGTTTAATTTTTTTCTTTCTTTTGCTTACAAACGAAGCGGGGGGAATATTAAAAATCTTACGTAAGATAAAAAATTAACTAATTTTAGCCTGTGAAGATTAGCTACCAATTGTTAATGATGTAGAATTTTGGACACGGAGCTCGTGGACAATAAATGATTCTTAATTTTCTAATTTTATTAAAATAATTATACTTTAATTAAAGTAATTACTGTAATTAATACGCACTGTAATTACTGTACTTGATTACGAATTTACTGTAATTACGTAACTACGTAAAAAATACTTGAACGCTCCCATATAGACTTTTCGTTTTCCTGATTTTTTTTTGTTTACGCACAAACAGTCTGAGACTTAAGCGTGCGTAGGTATGCTGATCCCTTGCGTTTATAGGTTTTTATCTCTCATCATCGGTTGGGGTCAGTGGCGTATTAAGGGAGGGGGGCGTGGTCCCAAGCGGCAAATATTAGAGGGCTGCATTTTGGGAATAAAAGCCCGCAATTTTTTTTAAACTAAACTGCGGCATTGTCTTCCTTATTCAAGAGGAATTGTCTGCCTTGCCTTCTATTACGTGGACAACTTGGCACTTTACAGACAGCTGGTATACAGCTGCTTAAGTCTGTTCCCCCTGGCAGCCTGGTTAGCACTTGAATCCAACCCAGGATTCCATCCGGCTCGATGAAGGAAGGTATACGCAGGTAATAATGATATATTATTAAGGATACTGTTTTGAGTTAGAGTCGATTATTAAGTTTAGGCTATCGACCTTTACCCTTTATTCGAAAACGGCAGTAGGATAGGTTAACTTTTTTGCATATTGGACTATGGAAAATTCCATAATTTTTTTTATGTATCCCAGACCTGCGACGGTCTGCAACGTCACAGGTGCTCATATCTATCACAACCTATATGTATAAAAAGTAAGCGAAAGCCTTCTCGGAGCGGCCGGTCCTACATCTCAGGCCAGCCAAGTGGCTTTCTCTTTGTTCACCGTGGGTGACCGCTTTATTTACTCATGTGACCCAGCCACGGCTACTACCCCTCAACCTCCCCCCCCTACGACAAGGTGGTAACCCGTTCAGAGTGGCGAAGAAGGAACTTAGAATATCTTGAAGTCGTGTTGTGATATGCTCGGGTTGGTATTTACTTTAATGCCAACTTTGCCATTGAAATATCTTTTTTTATTTTTATTTCCTTTTCAGGAATCGGAGCAGGTTGTTTTGCGAGGATTTGTGTTCTAAAATTTTAAATAAATAATGGAGGGATCCTGAACATATTTACAGATGTATAGAGTATGATTTTTTACATGGGCTTTAACCTTTAATTAATCTTTTGTTTGCTTTATATAAGAGACACCTTATTTATAATCAATCTTGTATTCTCGTGCATCTTGTAGACTGTAGAGCCTGATTAAATCGTCTAAGGCGACTTGAAATGTTTTTGTGGAACCCCGTTTCAAGATGTAGTCAATCTTGTTTGTGACTCCTGTGACATTTTAGTACAGTAGACATACGCAAACACGCGAAGAGGTAATAACATTATCATATTGTATAATATCTATTATAAGACACACGTCACACGCTCGACAGACCGCCGCGCCGGTTTAATTCGGACACTGTGACGTAGGCCCGAAAGCCCGAAAACCCGAATTTTGATGTTGTGCAATTGCTTCTCATATTGGAGGACAACTTAATATTCTAATAGACGTTAGTGCTGTTAGCAGTGGCGTAGCTATCCAGGGGCTAGGCTGGGCAGTACCCCAGGGCCCCCAAGCTAAAGGGGCCCTTCAGCTTCCAAGAACGACGTTCGAAAAATTATGTACCTACTATCCTAGTTGTTAAAGAATCTTCGAGTTTTAACATTTTGACCCCTGACCGCAAACGGATCGAACTGAAATCACAACAAAAATTACTCCCACTTCCAGAACATAACGATAATTGTCTACTTCGTTTTATTGTCTTTTTTATATAGAAGAGTGGGACAAACAAGCATGCGACGCACCTGATGGCAAGTTTCGACCATCGCTTATTAACAAATATAACACCAGAGGAATCGCAAGCGCGTTGCCGACTTTTTAAAAAGGAGTAAGCTCGTTTCTTGAAGCTTCCGAAGTCCTATCGGTCCGACAGTAGTGGACTGCCAAACATCCCGATGACCTGGATTTGTGAAATGCGTTGATGAAATTTTGTTGCATATAATACTGTCCCGCTCTGCTGAGCATGCCAAGCTTTTTAGAGGCCAATTCAGCCTTCCCTTGCAAAGGACTACGAAACTGCACGTTATTGGATATGTCAACGCCAAAGATTCCGAGACTGGCTGAGGTAACAAGGGGAGTGTCTTGAAATTGAGGAGTTACGACAAAAGGGGTTCTTTTTAGTGGTAAACGCGCAAACTTGTGTCTTCTGGGCATCGAACTTAATTAGATTTAGTCGCCCCAATTCGAGACCTTACCCGACAAAAACTCGACTTCAGACAAAAGTTTGTTCCGGTACTCGGCGACGTAGCTTTGTAGAACACCAGCAAAAATAGGCTTGTAAATGGAGCATGCACCTTCTACTAAGACTTTGTTGACTAGTTGCACAAATTCTCGGGAAGCCCATAGGCAGGGCGCTTCGAAAGAAGCCCTTTGTGACAAACCCGATCAAAGGCCTTCGCTATGTTCAAACTAACGGCCAGGGTTTCCCTCTCTGTCTTCGCCGATTTATGAGTCAGGTAAGGCAGAAGATCACCAGCTGAGCAACCCCGACGGAAATCGTACTGGTGGTCACTTTTCATTTGATGATCCTCAACCTCATGAGCCGGCAGTTCACAATTGTGTTAATTATTTTGGAGAACAAGTTGGATAGGTCTGAGCGGTCGATATTCGATTATTTTTAGGGATCTGGTGCACTAAAGCTGTCTTCTTTGAATTCGGGACTACGCTTAGGGAGAAGGAGTTTTAGAAAATACACGTTACGACCGGTGCCAACTAGGGAGCACACGTCTTTAGCACAATGGGAGGAACTACATCAGGCCCACTCAACTTGACATCTAGGGAGAGTATTGCTATGCACCGAGCGCTGGTGAAGCACTCTTATTATAGTGCGATGCAATTTTACAGGAGCGACCAAACCAGGCACCATAGATGATAGAATAAAGAGTTCCATTCCCTGAAGTACCACATCAGCGACAGAATCACGTTGGGATCATCTGGCGAGAAGCACACCCCTGTCGTCAAGGGAAGGATGCGAGAAAAGACCGCATCCTGTCCCAATCGGCAGACCTATAGTGTCAAACACGGCGGCGATCTGCAGAACGCAACCGCGATGGGAGTGTAAGTGGCACCATAGTCCAGACCAGACAATGGTCAAGTGAGCCAAGAGGGGCGTCGACGGAGACCTGATATCCGTCCGGATGAGAGGTCAGCAAAATGTTCTACAAGGAAGGTGCACGATACTCCACATCTAGAATCAGCGTAGGTGAAGTATTCATTTGTGTCGGACCATATGCCAATGCAAAGTCATAAACAGATATTCCCGCATGATCGGTTAAATGAAAACCAAGCCATTCAGCGTGGTGGCCGTTAAAATC